AGCGGCCCAGGAGCCCTGCGAGCGCTCCGGGCTAAGAGTGCTTACGGCGAAGGCGCCGTGATCGCTCCCCTCAGCATGGACACCGTCCACCTGATCGACTTGCCGGCTGCTGGGTCGGTCTCACGTTCTCTTGAGCATCTGGCTGGAGATCGGGGCAAAGAGATGGCTGAGCGACTAATTCAATTGCGCTTGCCAGAATCCACTGGCAGGGAGATAGCTAAACTTCAGGGACCCGCTCGGCCTTATTCCGACCCCGCCCTCAAGCGGTCGCCCGCCCTGTACGCGGAGCTGCTGCGCAGGATGGCCGACTGTGACCTGATCGAGTGGCATCTGACGGGCTAGGTCTCTTGCGGCCTGTTCTTCGTATTTAAGAAGTCAGGAAGATATCGTTTGATAGTCGATGGTCGGCTACCATCGTGCCATTTTCGCGACAGCGACCCTGTCTCGCTGGCCTCTGGGGCCGCCTTCTCCGCCATCGAGGTTGACAGCGCTGCGCCCATCCAGGTCGGCTCGGTCGATATCGTAAACGCTTTCTACAACGTGCAGTTACCAGAGGCCCTTCGCGAGGCATGTTCGTTCTTCCTCGGATCCGCGCCGACCTGGTGAATGTCTCGTCAGCCCAGGGCCGGGCTATCAGACGAGGCCAATACCTCTTCCCAGTCCTGAAGGTGATCCCGATGGGTTGGAAGCTTTCTTTTTGGGCGTGTCAGCAGGTACTGGAGCATCGGGCCCGGCTGGTGCCTGGCGTCTCAGAAAAGAACGCTGTCGTCGATCACCTTCCTCCTCCCAGCCTGGAGCCCTTCGCACACACGGAGTATGTCGACAACTTTTTCGCCTTCGGGAAGGATCGAGAAGTCGTCAGAGAAGCGGTTCAGCAGGAGTTGAGCGGGGTCGACCTTCCCACTCATCCAGTTGAGGCTGGTCCCGGCACCACTGCACTAGGCTGGACTTTCTCGGAAGAGAATGCTACTGTCGGGTTGGGCCCCCGGGTCGCCTGGAGGATCAGATTGGCCATTCAGCAGATTCTCATTGAGGGGTACGCAAGTGGGGACACTCTAACTGTCATTATGTCGCACCACACGACTCGTGCACTTGTACGCCGTGAATTGTTATGCGTGTTTTCTGCATGTTACTCCTTCGCAGCTGACGCTGGACCCCGTCGCCGCCGGCTGTGGGCTTCTGTTCGCCGTGAGCTTGGCTGGGCCGCTGGGCTTATACTTCTCGCTTCTCGGGATCTCGGGGCTGCCTGGTCTGAAGATGTCCTCGCCGTCGACGCGTCGTCCTGGGGGGGTTGCATCGTGCAGCAGAGAGTGCCGGTCGACGTCGTCAAGTCGCTCGGTCGGTTCAACGAGAGGTGGAGGTTTTCTCGACAAGACGAGCTGGGTTATCGACCTCGGGACCACGCTCTTGCTCTGGCTACTCTTGGTGGTTTTGCTATAGACGGTCCTGCTCCTGAGGTCCCCGAGGGCGCGCTCGACATCGGCTCGGACGTGTGGGATGGCGAGTGGCGCCGTGTCTTAGCTAAGAGATGGGCCCGGTCAGAGGCCCAGGTGATCCTCGAGGGCCGCAGCATGGTCTTGGCCCACCTCCACAAGACGCGGTCCCTGGCCAACTTCGGGAAGCGCCACTTGTTCTTGGGAGACGCCATGGCTAGCATCTTTGCCGTATCCAAGGGTCGATCATCCTCGAAGCTGATGAGAGTCTGCCGGCAGATTGGCGGCCTCAACCTGGCCTTCAACGTGACCTCTCGGTGGCGCTGGCTCCCCTCAGAGCGCAACCCCGCTGACCGCGGCTCGAGACGCAAAAGGGGGGACTGGGCTGAGGCCTCGACCTGGCCCCGCGAAGCCGACCCGCCGCCGGCCGCGCTGCCGGCGCCGAGGCATGCTCCGCTGGGCGGGGACCCCTACGGCCAGCGAGACCGCCGCGTCCGCGCCTTTGCAGCCAGCCTTGGCCGGGCCTTCGGCGTCGACTTCGGCCCCTCTGATGAGCTCGCCGCCCCCTCCGGTGACCGCGCCCTCGGCTCGCCGGAGGTGCCGCAAGAGGCCTGCATGCAGCGGGCCGCCCGCCGCCCTCCCGCGGGATCGAGCCGAACCTGCGAGCCGACCGAGCAGTCCGGCGCCGCAGGGTCTACGGCGGGGAGCCCGCGACCGACGAGCACGGCCTGACCCTGCTCGAGAGGCGCACCGTGAAGAAGCTTCAGGAGGACCGGTACAAGCACATCGTGAGCCAGTTCTACCTTTGATGCGCGACGGCCAACATGGCGATCAGCAACACCACGCAGCTCGACTCGGCGGTGACGGCCTACCTCCACGAGCAGTTCTTCGAGAGCTTCCCGAGCTCCGCGGGCACCTTCCTGCTGGCCGCCCTGACGCACTGCTGGCAGGACCTGTCGCCGAAGGCGCCAGAGCTGCCGCGGGCGAGGCGGGCCCTCCTGGGCTTCTCGAGGGCGGCGCCCAACCGGTCGCGCTGGCCCCTCCCGTGGCCCTTCGTGGCGCTGATAGCGGACACGCTGATCGGCCAGGGCCATTGGGCGGCGGCTGCGGCGACGCTCCTGTGCTTCGTGTTCTACACCCGGCCGTCGGAGCTTCTCCGCCTGCGGGTGAAGGACGCCGTCCCGCCGCCGCGGGGAGGGCCCAGAGCCCTCGCCCTTTGGACCCTGCTGCTGAATGCGTCGGAGAACAGCACCCCGTCCAAAACAGGCGAGTTCGACGAGTCGCTGAGCCACGACAACACGGAGTTCTGGTGGGTGGGAGGCCTCCTGACCCGCCTCCGAGCCGGCCGCAGCGCAACGCAGCCGCTGCTCGGCCTGACGTACGCGACCTGGGCCGCCCTGTTCTCCCGGGCCGCGGTAGACGCGGGCCTCGGCGGCCTTGGACCGCCCACGCTGCATCAGCTCCGCCACGGGGGGGCCAGCCACGAGCTGGCCACCCGCGCCCGCCCGCTCGCCGAGATCAAGAAGCGGGGGCGGCGGGCGGCGGACAGCAGCGTGCGCCGCTACGAGAAGAGCGGACTCCTGCCCACGCAGCTGCAGCGGGCGTCGGAGGCCGTCCAGCGCCGGGCCTACGCCGCTGCGGCCAGCATCGGCTCGAACATCTCGAGGATGCCGTCCGGCGTGCTGCGCTGAGCGGGCGACAGATTGCTCTGGAACTCTTCTCAGGCTCAGGGCGCTTTGCTCGTGCCTGGCGCCGCTCTGCCGCCCTGAAGCACATCGAGATAATTGAAGTTGACATTCGGCACGGTGCTCACTTCGATCTGTTGAATGAGAGCCTCGTTCGCAAAATTCGAGGTTGGGCGCGCGCTGGTCTGATAGCTGCTGTCTGGCTGGCTCCTCCCTGCTCCTCCTTCTGGGCCCTCCGGTGCCTCTTCTCGCCTGTTCGGTCCCGGGCCTTTCCTCTCGGCCTTCCTTCCCTCTCCCCATCAGACCAGCGCGTCGTCAACGTAGCTAATCGCTTGTGTAAAGTTGCCTCCAGCCTCCTCGACCTTTGCAGGAGGTTAGGCATCCCTTGTGTCGTCGAGAACCCCCACACTAGCCTTCTGTGGAATGTGAAAGCGTTCGAGAGCCTGGCCAGGACCCAGGATATCGATACTTGTGTCACTGACTACTGCGCCTGGGGGGCCCCCTGGCGCAAGCGCACCAGGTTTCTTTGTGCTCACCTCTCGTGCAGGCACCTCTGTGTAACCTGTTGCGGCCGAGGCGTATGCTCTTTCTCAGGCAAGCGGCACGTAGAAATCATTGGCAACCATCCCTGTGGCAGTAAATATAGCAAGCTCGCAGAGCCCTATCCCTCACGGCTCTGCTCCGCGTTTGTGCGCTGTTTTGCTGACAAGATCCTTCGCCCGCTCTCTAAACCATTCGGATAATTATAATCCAGGCCTTCGGCCAGAGTGTGCTTTGGAGCAAATTCGGAGAGGTCGAGCGGCCGTGCTTGAGGTTCCCCAAGGCGGCCTCTGGCTTTTCTGTGTCCCGGCTGCCGGGCGAACTGCTACTGGATCGGCGTCTTAGCACCCACCTGGCCTCGAGAAAAATGGAGCTCACATGCCAAGTGTTTATCACGCCTTTGTTAGCTAATGTCTCGGGGATGGGCCGCCTTGGGGTCACGCCTCACGAATGTGTGCCGCCGGAGAAAACGACCCATTTCAGCCAAAAGGGGTCGTTTTTCGCAGGGTCCCGCGGCATTGCATTTTCGTGTCGACTTGTATGTCCGTGACCTCGATGGCTCAAGCGCCCCCCCTTTAAGTTCCCTCCCTGCGGATCTGCACAGAGGTCTCGGAGAGGTCGAGCGGCCGTGCTTGAGGTTTCCCAAGGCGGCCTCTGGCTTTTCTGTGTCCCGGTTGCCGGGCGAACTGCTACTAGATCGGCGTCTTAGCACCCACCTGGCCTCGAGAAATATGGAGTTCACATTGCAATATCGTTGAAACTGGTCCTCCTCATCCTCCTCCCTCCTCACCCCTTATTTCCCTCCTCATGCTCAGCCTCGTTTCTCTCCTTCTTACCCCACTCTCCTGCCCACCGTTTTGAGCTACATGGCCCACCCTGGAAAGTGGACTCGGAAAGTGGACGTTGGAACTGCACCAGCTCGGGGAGGAGCCAGGGAGGAGCCGCTTTCCCGCTCCCCTCCCCTCCCCCCCTGCTGTGCCCCCCCCCCCCCCCCCCCGCGGGTCTTCTCCTGTTCATCCTGCTCCTCCTCCCACACCTCTGCAGTGCTGCCCCCGCCCTTGCCTGCACACCCCCCGCCCCCATTCTTCTCCCTCTCATCCTCCCATCGTCTCCCCATCCCCTCGCGCACCCTTGCCTATCCCGGGCCCCGCCCCCCTCGCCCTGCGCACATGCAGCACAGAACCATGGCCACCATCCAAGGCCGCCTCCCGGGGATTTGCGCTCGGGCGCGTCGCGATGGTGTTGATGAGTTGGAAGCGGGGGGGGTCTCGAGGTATTCCGTCGGCCCCCCCCCCCCCCCCCGCTTGTTGCCCTCCGTTGCGAGATGCCCGATCCGCGGGAGGACGGCGTGATCGTCGATCGCACGTATCGCCTCGTGGACGACCCAGAGGGCGAGGAGGTCAAGAAGGAAGACATGATCAAAGGCCACAAATACGGGCAGAGCATCGTCCCCATGTCTGAGTACGACGAGGCCGCGCTCATGTACACGTGCGAACGGACGCTCACTGCGCTGGGGTTTGCGAGAGCGGACGCCATCGGACCGGAGCACAGCATGCAGCAGGTAGACGTCGTGGCCGCCGACCTGGGGAACCGCTGGGCGCACTGCGCGTTCGAGTCCCTCGTCGACGCGATGGTCGCCAGGGACGTGGCGTTGGTCGCGCGCTACAGCTTCCGCAAGAACGCGCAGCCCCGGCTGGTCGCACTCTTCCCCAGCAGAGGCCCCACGGGGAGACCGCGCGCCCGTCCGAGCCGAAAGTCAACCGCCTTCGCGAGGGGCGCGGGAAGACCCGGACCACACCGAGAGCCCCTCGGCGCTCACCCCGCCACGTCCCGCAGGCATCTCCGACGCCGTGGCTCTTTCGAAGTGCGGGCCCCCAGGGGTCTGGGCCACTTCCCCCGGGGCCTGTTTCACGTCCCGCCTCGAAATTCTTGTTAGACCGCACCCCAGGACGCCAGGAGAGGTCCAGGAGTAGCCGTATCGGTGACCTTTGGTTCTCCCAGAGTCAGCCCGAAGGGCCCGGAGAGGGCCCCTGGGCGGCGAAGATGTGGACAACACATGCCGTCGTGAGTAGTTCGCGACGAGAAGAGGCATGGACCATCCCCCATGCACAGGCCCCAGAGGCAGTTCGTCCAGCCTGGTCATGCAGTACCTGCCCTTCGAGGAGGACATCCGCGAGTGGGTCGTCGCTTCGCTGCCGGCCACCTCCGCCGTGCAGCGGGACGCTGTCTCCGTGCTGCTGGACTCCATGAGCCTCGAGGAGCCCGCCTCCGGCAGGCTGGACGCCGACGAGGCGCTGCGGCCGGAGGACACGCACAACCCGTGCCTGTCGCGCTTCTACTCCTTCCTTACCCGGCGGGCCATGGACGCGGCGGCCAAGGTCACGCATACGGTGGGGGCGTTCGTTAAGGTAACGTGCCCGGGAGGCTTCAGACCCTGCAGGGTTCCTTGTCTGATGAGGGCGGCGGTTATATCCACGGCCAATCCACGATTCGCTGTCCGCTGGCTCCCAGACCCTGGATTCCTTATCGAAGGTTCCCTTATCCAATGCCATCACCGTAGGGGAACGAAGAGTGGCATAAGCATAAAACCTCGGAGGTCCCCGCGGATTTCTCGGATCCGCGCTGGAACCCCTTGGCGGCGCCTCCAGCGCCGCCCCCGGCGCGCTCCGCGCGCCAGGGAGGGGGGCCCAGCGGCGCGGATCCAAGAAATCCGCGCGGACCTCCGAGTTGTTTTTTCTGTCTTCATCACCCTTCTCTCCCCTAAACACCGTCGGCCGCCGCCTGGGCACTCGGCAGAGGGCGGGCAGGAGCCACGGCGGCCCTCCCTGGAGTTTGCTTTTCGTCCCTGCTGGGGTCGGGGGAAAACAAACCTACCTCGCTTGTGACCACCCTCGCTTCCAAGAGATACCAAACGGTGCCAACCTGCGGCCTGCACTGGTCAGGCCGCTTGACGAGGAGGCGCGTGGTATGGCTTGGTTTTGCCTGGAAGCGAAAGCGGGGGAGGTAATTCACGCTCTTACGGGGGCCTCTCCCGGAGGGCCCCCGCCGTCCCAGCGGGAACCTCGCCTCGAGAGGACGACGGGCCAGGGGGGACGCCAGGAGGGGCCCCGGGGGCCCCTTTGGAGCTGACCTCCCCCTCCCCCTCCGCCTGATCCCCCCCTCCTCGCCGATCCCGCTCCTCCTCCTCCTCCTCCTCCTCCTCCTCCTCCTCCTCCTCCTCCTCCTCCTCCTCCTCCTCCTCCTCCTCCCCACCAGGGCTTAAGAGCTTCGGTTGGGGCTTCGTTTTCCTGGACCAGGACGGGGGGGCTGTCAAGGCCATGCGGGGTACCCTCCCAGGGCTGCGAATCCTCGCCTCCGTCCTCCGTGCTGAATTGTATGGATTGCTCAAGTTGCTGTATAGTGCCCACCCTCCGCTGAGGGTAGGGATCGACAACAGTTCAGTCATTCGAGGCCTCCATAGAGGACCCCGTTGGTGCTGTAGCCCTCGGAGGCCTCACGCCGACCTCTGGGGCAGGATTTGGGCCCAGCTCCAGGATAGCTTCAGCCAAGAAGGCGACTTCCAGGCCGTCAAGGTAAAGGCTCATACGCGCGGGCCGAGGGACGACTCGCACGAAAGTTTTCTCGATTTTCAAGGGAACCAATTGGCAGATAATGAGGCCCGCCTAGGGGCCGACATGCAGGAGGTCCCCCCGTGGAAGGCCCAGACCTGGACCACCCGCTCGGCGGAGGTCCAGGCTGTGTTGACTCTGGTGGCGGGGGTGACGGGGTTGACTGCGGACTTCGGGGATTCCACGGGGAGGCCTGCCGCGGGCTCCAGCGGGGCCCGCCGGAGGCGGCAAGGCCCGCCAGAGGGGGCCCGAGCTCACGTCCTCCTCTGGAAGAGAGGGGCGTGGCGTTGCTCGACGTGTGGCCGCAAAGCTTTCTCCAGCAAGACCAAGCGCGCGTTGGCGCGCAGACCCTGCTTGGGTAAGATGAGGGTGGATCGTCGTTGGGGAGTCGGGCTTGGGCGGGGGGATGGGGAAGGAGACATTTCTCCCGCCCTCCGCGGAGCGGCCCTAGGGCACGAGCTGCACCGAGTGGGCCAGTATACATACTGCGATCGGTGCGGTGTCTTTTCGAGCGAGAGGGGGTGCAAGCTCCTGGGCGCCTGCATCGGGGCCCCTGCGAACTCCACCGCAGGGTACCGCCTCTCGCTCCTGCGCCGAGGCAGGAATCCTTATGCTGTAAAGGTCTCCCTCGAAGCGGTACCGCGCTCCCTGGTACAGGAGGAGTGCGACGCATTCTGGGAGTGCCTCATGGACTGAGGCAGGACGGGGCGGGAGGCACCCCGTGGCGGAGTGCCCGCCCATCCTCTTTCTCTTGTGGCGAGCTGGGGCGGGGACCGCCAGGCATCGTTCTAGCAGCAAAGCCTCCTCCTCCTCCTCCTCCTCCTCCTCCTCCTCCTCCTCCTCCTCCTCCTCCTCAAAAGGACCTCCTCCTCCTCCTCCTCATCCTCCTCCTCCCCCTCCTCCTCCTCCTCCTTTTGAGGGGTTCCGGGGGGTCTGCCGCAGTCGCCGGCGATAGCTGAGCATGCTGCAGCCGCGTTGTGTGGCCAAGTAGCGGATCGCCCCACTTTTTTGGGCCCAAGATTGCAAAGCTGTAGTTTGCCAGACCCAGGGGCCCATATGGAAACAGCGTGCTAGAACCAACAAGTCTCTTGGTGCTCGGCGGTTCGCCCATGAACTAACAGGCGCCAAGTGTTTGTCCACCTTCCATGTGAAGGCCCATCGAAAGCTGAAGGTTCTCGAGGCCCTGGAGGGTCATGAGAGGCGTTCTGCTTTTGCGAATCGTGCGGTGGATGAGCACGCGAAGAAGGCCCTTGAGGGACATCCACGGCCGAACCCCAGTTTTTTGTTGTTGCAGCGTGTTGAGTTGTATCAGGATCGAGTCACTGCTTTTGTGAAGCTTGCGTCGGCAGTTCTTCCGCTGTGCAAGAAAAAGTCAAGTGGACGAGAGCCCCGTTCTCCTCATCCCATCGCAGTCGGCAGAATCGAAGCTGGCATCTGTGGCGTCGATCAGAGTTAGGCATGCAATGCAGACAGTGTTGGATGGTGTGCGTGATCGACCCGATAGGCCAATGACTGGATATCGTGGCCCGCCTCCCGCTCTCCAGAAGCTGGTGCGTGAACCCATTGGGCACCTCCTCGTCGCCGTGTCGGATTCGGCTCTTGATGTTCCTCGGTTTGGGGCCCGCGGGGACCCGTGTCGCGAGCAGCAGATTCTGCGTTTGAGATGCGGGGGCTGGAGCCAAGGGAGAACCGTGAAGCTCGCCGAGGTCTGCCATGAGCCAACGCGTAAACGATTGGATGTCCTGAGCCGTTTTCGACGAGGCCTTGGTCCGAACTTGAAGGTCCGCGAAGTGCTTGATAAAACGTTGCTTGTGGCGCGACTTGGTTTCGAAACGGATGCTACTTCGAGGTGCGGTCTGACTGTTACATCAGTGCCGCGAGCTTTCTCGGATGCTCCCTCAGCCCCCGACCACGAGCAGCGAATGGCGGCCTTGGTCGCCAGAAGTGCAGCTAAGGAAGAGGCTGCACGAGCCTTAGGGGCGATTTAAGTCGGGTCGATCCCCCCAGTGCTTTTGGCGCTGTCACCTCCCGACAGTTTCAGGCGTTGTCCATCCTCCTCCCCCTCCTCCTCCTCCCTCCTCCTCCTCCTCCTCCTCCTCCTCCTCCTCCTCCTCCTCCTCCTCCTCCTCCTCCCCCTCCCACCCCTCCTCCTGCTGCTCTCTCCCCCATCCTCCCTCTCATCCTCCTCCCCCCCCCCTCCTCGTACTCCTCCCCCACCCCCTCCTCCCCCCTCCTCCCCCCCCCCCCCACCCGCTGCTTGGACCTCCTCCCAGGCACGTCAGACTTCTCGAGCGTCCCGCGGGGGACAAGGGGTCGGATTCTGATCTTTGGGGTGGAGGGGGGAACAGAGAGAGAGAGAGAGAGAGACACAGAGGTACAGAGAGAGAGGGGGAGGGACAGAGAGATAGAGAGAGAGAGAGAGAGAAAGAAAGAAAGAGAGAAAGAAAGAAAGAGAGAGAGAGAGAGAGAAAACGAGATTGCTATCATTTTCGCGGGGGGGAGAATTCGGGAACCAATCCGCGCGGGTGAGTCCGATGTGTTCATGATCCCTCGTCGACCGTTTATTGCTTGCCGTCGTTTTGTGGAAGGCCTTCCTCAGAGCGGTAACCAGCATGGGCGTGGCAGGAGATCCCGAAACCGTTGTAGCGCTGTCATGTTTAGGCGGTATGGTGCGTTCGTCGAGTATGTTGATCCGCCGCACTGTCGCAAGCGGCGCGACCACTGTGAAACAGCTGATATATATATATATATATATACAATCGTAAACGTATACATACACATGCATATGTATATATGTATAGATGTATATATAAATATATTCCGGCAGCGCGGGCGCTACTCTTCAATCAGTTGCCTGTCTACCGATAGCCCCGGCATGTGGACCCACAAACGGTATACTCACGTCGGCGGCAAACGCGCAGGGCCTGGGCCCGGCAGATCTTCAACAGGTCTGGACGGGCACTCCTTCAATCGAAGAAGAGAAAACGCCATAAACACAAATTGTTGGCGCTCCGCGTGGATTTCTTGGATCCGCGCTGGCCCCCCTCCCTGGCGCACGGGGCGCACTGGGGGCGGCGCCCTAGGCGCCGCCAAGGGGTTCCAGCGCGGATCCGAGAAATCCGCGCGGACCTCCGAATTTTTATGCTTATGCCATTCTTCGTTCCCCTATAGGTGATGTGCCCAACGGCGTTCGCGGGGCCCTAGTGCGAGGCGGCCAGTCGGCACCGAATCATAGCAGGCCGCGGCCCACCGATGTCTTGGCAGGGAATCTGATAGCGAGAAAGACAAAGCTTAGGCTGCGCCGAGCTGATCAAGCTGTTTGGGCTTAGTTTACTTCAGCCTCGCCAGTCCACTCCAAGTAAAAACATACCTTAGCTGCGCCTCAGCCACCAGCATATGCTTGTTGATGTAAGTAGCCTGCTGAAGAGCGCAGCTTGGGATTACTCCCCGTACATGCCGCTGCCAGTGCTACACTACAAATTGGGTGGTTCGGGGCAGCTGCAATCGAACCTGATTAGTAGGTCGACCCTGCCAAATCAAGGGTACCCTGGTGTCCTGTGCTTCGCGACCCATGCCTTCTACATTCCTGTGGCAATGTGGCCCTCGGAAGGGTCTTGTGTCCTCTCGCGTGTCCTCTGCAAGCAGCCCCGACTGTATCTTTGACAGCTTGTTCATCGAAATCGACGGTGTCCCAACTCTGGAAATTTACGTGGACGTCTCTTCTGCATGCTTCCCAGACATGCGACGTCCTGATGTTTTCAGGACCGCGTCCCTGGAAGTTCCGACCCTTTCCCCAGGACCGGTTTTTCGCCTTGAGTCGTGTTTGGACGGTCCCGAGGACCGGCGAGGGCCCCCCGAGACCGCAAATTGTCAAAAACCTGCCGTCCTGATTTTTGCTCTTCGACGCAATCGTGCCTGGGCTTCGGACGATGCCCAGAACGTCCATCGGGCAACACGCCTCGGAGCCGCACCCTTCCCGAAGAGAGAGAGAGAGAGAGATGCCCTCTGGCAAGGTGCCCGGCCCCGGGCCCGAGATGCTGAGCATGCTGGAGCCCCCCGCGCACATCGCGGAGCGCGCGGTGAGCTCCGGAGCCGCCGAGCTGCTGAAGGGGGCCTTCGCCTTCGAGAGAGTGGAGAAAAAGGCCTCGAGCCATAAAAGAGGCACCAGCATAAAAGCAGAGGAAAGGTTTCGAAACCAACAGGAAAAGAATGAATCATATGGATAATAGACACAGGAGCATAAACTGCTGCCGCTCCCCGCGGGTTTCTTGGATCCGCGCCCTGGGCTCCTCGGCGGCGCCTCCGGCGCCGCCGCTGGCGCGCTCCGCGCGCCAGGGAGGGGGGCCCAGCGCAAATACAAGAAATCCGCGCGGACCGTCGAAAGGTTATGTTTCAGTGTTTTGTTCCTTCCTCGAAGGTCGGCAAGAAGAGGACGTTCTGGCGAGAGGCCGTCGCACAGAAGAGGAGTGAGGCCGACATCGGCGAGGTCGACGTCAAGCGAATCAGAGTCGATGGCGTAGCCAAAAAGGACGAGGATGGCGAGGACGAGGGCGCCATGAAGAAGGAGGAATCCCCAGACTTGTTCGCTGCTCCTGAGATGGCAGCGCCTGTCGACTCGGCGCCTCCCGCACCTCTGCTCCGCGTCGGCACCAGGGGAACAGAGAAACATCGCGACACCGACGCCGCCGTTGCCCGAACCTCGCCTGGGGCGCGGCCTCTCGCCGAGATCCCCGAGGCGAGCCCTGCCGTTTTGCAGCAGGGGGCGGGGGGCACAGTCAAGACGCTGAGGCAGGGGCCACGCCTGGCTCGAGGCAAAACGCAGCTTTGTTGGTGCAGGCCGCTCTGCAGGTCCGGGTCGGGAAGCCTCTTCGAAAACGAGCCCGGCCGTGGCCAGAGAGATCCTTCGCTCCTCCTTCGGCGCTCCTGCTGGCTGCGCCGTGGCCGGGGTCCCGCCCACAGGGGGGGGGGGGCTGGGCGCTGCTGCGCGCCGGCTGGGCCGCGGCACCGTCCCGCGGTGACCGTCGCGGGGGATGGTCGACTCGGCGTAAGAGTGGCCTTTCGCCGGAGGGACCGGAGGAGGAGGAGGAGGAGGAGGAGGAGGAGGAGGAGGAGGAGGAGGAGGAGAGAGGAGAGAGGAGAGAGGAGAGAGGAGGAGGAGGAGATGGGTCTCCGGATGGCTGAAGACGACGCAGGAGCAGCGGCCGGCGCGCCCAGGTGTGGTCTCCCCGTGGCCCCCCAGAAGCCGCGCACCAAAGGTCACTCTTACCCAGGGTCACTCTTGCGTATAGCCGAGCTGGGGGCCGCAGAGGCTGGAGTTCGTCGAGCTCGCATGCGGAGGAGGGACGGCGGAAGTCGTCGCAGGGAAGGGCTCGTGGGGTCAAGTCGGGCCTGTCCCTCTACAGGAGGAGTAGTCTAAAACAGTCCGAGAATAATGTGGGGACGATTCTTCGATTTTGTTTGACTGCGTTGAGAATTGTTTGAATATCTGCTATTTGTCACCCGCAATCCGTCTGTAGGGCGGACATGCCCGACCTAATCATAGAGGCAGGGGGCCAAGGCTAGCGGTATAGTACGCTGTGTCTTGGCACGCGGGATTCGCAGCACTAGGATTGCAGCCGTATCGGTATCGAAGACGCCTACGGCGAATCACCGCCGCCCCCTGCCTTTGTGGAAGCGCCTATGTGGCCGAACGTTGAGGCCAGACCTGCCAAGCCATCGGACCATGTGTTCCCCGAATCGGTTTGGAAAGCCTTCGGGGAACACGTGGGCGTCTTGATGGTCATCGTCGCCGTCTTGGAGGCCTCTTGGGCGATCTTTCGGCGATCTTTGGGGGCTCTTGGGCCGTCTCGGGCCGTCGGAAGGCCGAAAGAAGGGAAATGCCCAAATCCATCAAAAACCTTGGGAAAATCAGTGATTTTGGCATCTTTTGGCCTTCCTGGAGGCCCTCTTGGGGGCCTCTTGGGCCCTTTTGGGCCAGCTTCGAGCCAACTTCGGCCATCTTGGTGGGTTCCTGGCACGTCTGACGCCGTCGGGAGCCGTTTTGGGGGCCTTTCTGGGCCAACGGGGGACCCTCTTGGGGCGCTCCAGGGCCGTCTTGGAGGCCATCTTGGGCGTCTTGGAGGCCATCTTGGGCGTGTTGGAGGCCTCTTGGGCCGTCCCTCTAGGGGCCATCTTGGAGGCCACTTGGGCCATCAGGGGGCTCTCTTGGGGGCCTCTTGGGCGATCTTGGGGGCTTCTTGGGCCGTCTTGAGCCGTCGGAGAGCCGAAAAGGCGCAAATGCCAAAATCCTTCAAAAACCAAGGGAAAATCAATGATTTTGGCCTCTTCGGACTCTCCTGGAGGACCTCTTGGAGGCCTCTTGGGCCGTCTGGGAGGCCTCTGGGGGGCCTCTTGGGCCGTCTTGGGCCGTCTTGGACTCTCTTGGGCCGTTTTGGAGGCCGTCTTGGACCATCTCGGGCGGACTTGGAGGCCATCTTGGGCCATCTTCGCGATGTTTTGAGGATGTCCCGAGCGAAACGGCCGTTTTTTGGAGGATGTTTTGCGGTCGTTGAGCACGTTTGGGGATTTTCCGGGTGGCCGGCGGGTTCTGCCGGAGCCCATTGGGGAGTTCTTTTGGAAAAAGAACCAAAACCAAAACTTAACAGCTCGTCCAGCACGCCGTGCACCCCTGCAAGCAGGGGGCGGCGGATCGAAGACGCCTACGGCGAATCACCGCCGCCCCCTGCCTTTGTGGAAGCGCCTATGTGGCCGAACGTTGAGGCCAGACCTGCCAAGCCATCGGACCATGTGTTCCCCGAATCGGTTTGGAAAGCCTTCGGGGAACACGTGGGCGTCTTGATGGTCATCGTCGTCGTCTTGGAGGCCTCTTGGGCGATCTTTCGGCGATCTTTGGGGGCTCTTGGGCCGTCTCGGGCCGTCGGAAGGCCGAAAGAAGGGAAATGCCCAAATCCATCAAAAACCTTGGGAAAATCAGTGATTTTGGCATCTTTTGGCCTTCCTGGAGGCCCTCTTGGGGGCCTCTTGGGCCCTTTTGGGCCAGCTTCGAGCCAACTTCGGCCATCTTGGTGGGTTCCTGGCACGTCTGACGCCGTCGGGAGCCGTTTTGGGGGCCTTTCTGGGCCAACGGGGGACCCTCTTGGGGCGCTCCAGGGCCGTCTTGGAGGCCATCTTGGGCGTCTTGGAGGCCATCTTGGGCGTGTTGGAGGCCTCTTGGGCCGTCTTGGGGCCCTCTAGGGGCCATCTTGGAGGCCACTTGGGCCATCAGGGGGCTCTCTTGGGGGCCTCTTGGGCGATCTTGGGGGCTTCTTGGGCCGTCTTGAGCCGTCGGAGAGCCGAAAAGGCGCAAATGCCAAAATCCTTCAAAAACCAATGGAAAATCAATGATTTTGCCCTCTTCGGACTCTCCTGGAGGACCTCTTGGAGGCCTCTTGGGCCGTCTGGGAGGCCTCTGGGGGGCCTCTTGGGCCGTCTTGGGCCGTCTTGGACTCTCTTGGGCCGTTTTGGAGGCCGTCTTGGACCATCTCGGGCGGACTTGGAGGCCATCTTGGGCCATCTTCGCGATTTTTTGAGGATGTCCCGAGCGAAACGGCCGTTTTTGCGCACGGTGGCGGGTTCTGCCGGAGCCCACTGGGGAGTTCTTTTGGAAAAAGAACCAAAACCAAAACCTAACAGCTCGTCCAGCACGCCGTGCACCCCTGCAAGCAGGGGGCGGCGGACCTGGTGGCCCCGGCCCATCCCGCCACCGTGCCTGGGTTGTAGGCCAGAGGCCTCCTGAATGCTTGTGTGCGGATCTATCGGGAGGCCTCTCGGATGCTTCTCGGAAGCGGTTTTGGCGGTATCTTGGGGCGTCTTGATGGGCCTGTTGAGGCCTGATTTGGGCCTCTTGGAGCCTCTTGGGGGCTTTTGGGGGCCTCTTGGGCGCACCTCGGGGGTTTGTGGGGGGATCTTGGGGCCATCGTGGGGCGGAGGGCTCAAGACGTCAGTTCGTCTTCCTCATCTTGGGGCAGTCTTGGGGGCCTCTTGGGCCCCTCGTGGGGGCTCTTGGGCCGTTCCGGGGCGACCCTGGACGCTCTGGAGACCAAGAAGGCGGCAACGCGAACGCCTGCAAGAACCAACGTGCGTGTTGGCGATGTTGGCCTCTTGGGCCGCCCTCCAGGGCTTCCGAGACGACCCAGAAGGCGGGCCCGAGAGGGCTCTCCAGGACGGCCCCCCGGGTCGCCTGAAGCCCTGCGCCGAAACGCGCACGCGGCTCCTCGAAGGGTCACGCGGGGGCCCCGCAAGGAGCGCCCCAAGAGCGCGCGCGAGCGCCCAGGAGTCGGTGTCGTTTATAACCAACCCCCCATCCCCCATGCCCATTCCCTTGGAACCCCCCACCAAATTACCACCCGAGTTGGGGATACGCCCCTCGAAGCCCGAAGGGAACGACCTATATCCCCATCTAGGGGGAGAAATCGACCAGTGGGGCCCAGGCCACGCCGCTGGGGATGGGCATCGGCCAAGCGATACTCAAGGAGCGCCCCGAACTCAGGGCTGTGGGCCCCGGAGTACAGAACGTAGACAGAACCTCCATGCAGAGAACTCCGAGGATAACTTCCATCTCGTGCCCCACGGCCTGGTGGCGGATGTGTTCCCCCCACCCCGAGGCACGGTGAACCCCGTGCGCGACTTCGAGCAGTGGCTGGCATGCCGGCCTGGCTGCGTGGACACCGCGGGCGCGGCCATCCAGCAGATGTGCGGCGTCGTAGACCGCCTGGTGGAGGAGCGGGGCCCACTCCGATCCGAGCGAGCCGATTCGTTGTCGACCTGGGCCGGCCCGATCCGTTCGATTCCGATGATGGGGCGATCCGATGCAGCCCGGTGATCGCGAGACGCTGCGGTGCATCCTAGCACAGCCGATCTGACTCGTTCGATCTCGACGACGTGCCGGCGCAGCCCGCTCCGACGCACTTCCCCGTCCGCCCCGATCTCCCGATTCGGCGCTGACTGTCGTCGGCACGCCCGGGGGGAAGGCAGCGGGGGCGGGCCTTTGTCAGAAAGCGCAGAATCGGGGCTGGACAGACCTCCTACCCTGACACGTCGATTAAGGAATTGGCTGTTTTCGGTTCGCGGGAGGGCGTCGCGGCCGTCATCTTTGCGGGTCCACGTCCATCGGTTTTGGTCCCAGGCCGTTTTCACTAAGGGGAGGTCTACTAGAGGGAGGTTTGTCCAGCGCCGACAGAAGGCCCTTGGCCCGCCGAGGCGCTGCCGGAGCCTTCTCCGAAGCCCCGGCGCCCTCCGAGCAGGCTTGCCGCCTCTCGGACGCCTGGCGGTGCTGGGGTCTCACAGCTCGGCTCTAAAGCGCGGCCGCTCCGGGCGATCGGGGCGCCGTGCGGCCGCTCTCGGCGAGGCGCCGCCGCTGGAACGCATCCCGAGGCCGGGAAACCGCCGAGGGCCAACGAAGACACACGAAAACCTCCAACCTCGAACCCACCCCCCCTGCGACCCCTGGACCTCCTCCTGGGGTGCGTTCTGCCTACAATTTGAAGCCGGATCTGGCCGTGACCACGAGGACGCCCCACGACGATCAAAGATTGTCCGACGGCAGCGAAGAACACGATCCTCGCACCTCGAGCCTCTGAGCATACACCCCCCGAAGAGCCTCGAACCTCTGAGCCTCCAGCCCGACAGCCAACGAGAATGCCCGAGAACCTCAGACCTCCAACCCGAAGGCTCCCGAGCCTCTCCGAGCCCGGCGCGCCGCGGAGACTGCCCCCCCGGAGGAGGGGCCAGAGTGCCACGGCAAGGCGCTCAGCTGCCTGCAGGCGCTCCGGAGGGGCTGCGCCGAGGTGGGCGAGGCGCAGGCGCGGGGCATCGGAGGTCCAACAGCGGCACCAGGGCCCCGTGGCTCCATCTGGAGTGCCGAGGGCACGTCGGTACAGAGATCGGCCGGCCGGCGGGTGCCCCGAGGAAGCGCCCGAGCCCCCCCCCGGTGGCCCGAGGGGCCGTGATGAAAACACAGCCTGCGGGAAAAACACAGTCTGTGGAAAAAACAGTGTGTGTGTGTGTGTGTGTGTGAGTGTGTGTTAGTGTTAGTGTTTGTGTCTGTGTCTGAGTCTGTGTCTGTGTCTGTGTTGATGTCTGTGTCCGTGGTGTTGCTTGTGTGCGCGCTCGTGTTTGTGTCTGCGTTTGCGTTTGCGTTTGTGCTTGTGTTCATGTTGTTGTGGGTGTTTGTGTGTGTGTGTGTTGTATGTGTATTTGCGTTTTTGTTTGTGTTTGTGTGGTTGTTGGTGTTTGTGTTTGTGTGTTGTATGTGTATGTGTGTTTGTGCTTGTGGTTGTGTTTGTGTGTGGTTGTATGTGTGTTTGTGTTTATGTTCGTGTGTGTGTGTTTGTGTTTGTGTTTGTGTTTGTGTGGCGTGGTTGTGCTTGTGCTTATGCGGTTGCTTGTGTTTGTTTGTGTGTGTGTGTTCGTGTGTCTTTGTGTGCGTGTGTCTCTGTGTGTGTGTCTTTGTGTGTGTCTCTGCGTGTGTCACTGTGTGTGTGTCTCTGTGTGTGTCTGTGTGTGTGTCTGTGGTTGTGTGGCTCTCCGTGTGTGTGTGTGTCTGTGTGTGCCTGTGTGTTTGTGTGTCTCTGTGTGTGTGTCTCTGTGTGTGTCTCTGTGTGTGTGTGTGTCTCTGTGTGTATGTCTGTGTGCGTCTCTGGGTGTGTGTTTGTTTATGTGTGTGGTTTCGTGTTATGTGTTGTGCTGTGCCGTTTCAGCACCACGGGACATGCATCCCTTGGTCAATGTGTAGATGTTCTGCCCTGCCACAGGCGTACAACGCCTTCGCCCGCAGGCTGCGCTGCGAGGGCTGCGAGGGCTTCTGGGAGACCGCGCGGGGAGCCAAGCTGGGGCTCTCGGGGGGCCTTGGAAGTCGGCGTCCCGGCCTCGGAGCCCCCTGCGCCGTGAAACAACACTCGACGCGCGCTTCTCTGTTTGCCATGTTCGGCCTCTGCCCTCGCCGCGACCAGGGAACGTCAAACAACTGCTGGGGAGTGGGTCGAGGGAAGTCGGAAGACTGCGCGCCTCCCCCTCCCCCTCCTCCTCCTCCTCCTCCTCCTCCTCCTCCTCCTCCTCCTCCTCCTCCTCCTCCTCTCCTCCTCCTCCTCCCCCTCCTCCTCCTCCTCCTCCCCCTCCTTCTCCTCCTCCGGGTCTGGGGGTCGAAGTCGGTTGAAAAAGTCCTGAAGTCGGGGTTCGGGGTTCTAGGTCCCCGCCACAAGCCAAGGCGAAACAAGCACGCGGACGCCCCCCACTTGTGGATGTTTCAAGGGCCTCGGGAAATGGTGGCGGTGTGCAAGTCACAATTGAGGGCCAGCGACTTTCTACAACTGCTATAGACCGCCGCGCCCCCCGAAGGCACAGGGAGAGCTCGTCGGCGGATGCCTGTGTACAGGCTTTCGTGAGGCTTGAGCATGTGGAGCGCTTTTCCAGCCCTTCTTGGGCCTACTGGACCGTCCTCGTTGCCACGGCGGGGTTCCCCTCGGAATTCTGGCCGAGGCGCGCCCAGGGACGGGGCCTGCGGGCCGAGGCCTGACCCCAGAGCAGAGGCCATCCGCTCGGTGGTCCGGCTGCGTCGCAGTCGGTCGCGTTCGGTCGGGTCGGCCCGGCCGGGTGGTGTGCCGTCGCTGCGCCGCTGCGCCGTTGCACGGCAGGCACACCAAGTGAGACCTTTGCTTGCCAACGGGTGCCCCCCCGACAGCTTCTTCTCTCCCGACGGCCCCGCACAGCCCTGGGGCACCTTGCGAAGGTCGCGGTCGCCGAAGCAGATGCCCCTGGGTGCCCTGCACCGAGATGTCTCATCGTATGTGCCTGCTGCACAGCCGGGGCCCTGAAGAAGGAACCCTTTTCGTTGGGGAGGGGCTCGGTGTTCCTTGATTGTTCCACACCTTGCCCAATGTTTTCCTGGAGTTTTTGGTTGCAAGTCGAAGGTTAACTTATGGAAAAAAGGGGCCTCGTTCCTTATTTAGGGTTCCTTAGGTCAACGCCCCGACTGTACTGTCGCCGTGGACGGCCTCAGCGCCGGCACCAGCGTCGGCGGTCGTCTCCACGCCGGGGGAGGCGTGCCTCCGAGCTCGGCGCTGGTGGGGATACCCCAGGGCTCCCCATTCGGTCCGCGTCGGGGGCAGCACGACTGGGAGGCAGGCTCGGGGGGGGACGACGCATCGACCCCCCATCGCCCACTCAGTGCTGCCAGGGAGGGGCCCCATAATTACCCCGCCCTGCCCAGGATGTGCGGGCTCGCTCTCGGGGGCCACTCGTCGATCTAGCGACGGCGCATCGCCGATGACAGCTCGACGCTTCCCCCCTTGAGCCAGTCCCCCACCCAGACCTTCTCCCTCAACCGAGATCGGGGGTCATGTGCCCTCGGTGGAGGTGACCGCGGCCGCCGTCGTTGTCGCCGGCGCCGCCGCATTCGTCGTCGTTGTCGTCCTCGTCGTCGTCGTCGTCGTCGTCGTCTTTGCCATCCCGCCGCTGTCGTCGTCGCCGTCGCCGCCCTCGTCGTCGTCGTCGTCGTCGTCGTCGTCGCCGTCGTCGTCGTCGTCGCCGTCGTGTCGGCGCTGGTCATGTTTCTTCACATCGTCGACACCCAGAGGTCTCGACGCATTTCCCAGGGTGGGCTTCTCCTCCCGAGTCGCTGGTTTGACAGTTCCATGGCCCAGCGAGGGCCTCGAGAGGCCGCCGAAAACGGCGAAGAACTGCCCGTCGCAATTCTGGCACGCTCCCCAGAGGCCGACAATGGCAAGAAACCGTCCGCCGTGATTTTTGCCGCGCCGCCTGGCGATCTGGGCCCCAGGCTCATCACCGACGCAGAGGTGCCCACCAGCACGGTCTCCACGGAGGAGGCCCGAGCCTTCCTCGCCGGGGAGGACCTCGCCGCCCCGGCGGCCCCCGCGCCTCCCGGCAGCGCGATGGCCGCCCGGCCGGCCGCGCCGCCGCTGAGCGACAAGGAGCTGGAGGACACGGTCGGGTGACAGCGCTCGCTCACAGGAGAGTGTTTCTGTTACCCGCTGGGCCATAGCGCGCGTGATGCCCCCTGCCCTACCCTCCTACCCTCCTTCCCCCCACCCCATAACGTAGCTCTCAGCCCGTCGGTGAGTCCCCAGCACTGCCGCAGCCCGTCCGGCACCACAGAGCGCCACGTTGTGCCCCCTCCCGTCACCCCCCCATAACGCCCGTTATTCACCAAGCGCGTTCCACTACTCGCACAGTGACTACTCGTAAACGTCCGAAAATTACATGTTTCCATCGATGTAGTGTATCGTCAATCCCCCATGGCGGACCCAGGCCATTTGCGAGTAGTTACTTTGCGGCAGTGGAACGCGCTTGCATAGTTAGGGCCGCGAATGAAGACGATGCGCTCCAGGCTGCCGTGGTGTCACAGAGTGGATGGTTCAGGAAGCCCTGGATCCAACAAGTTGTCATCTCTTGGCAGGGCTGCCGCCGGCGGAGGGACATGCTCGGGTGACACTGCTCGCATACAGGCTGCCGAGGTCTCGCCATGTGGATCGTCCTGGGACCCCTGGATTTAAGCCGGGCCTGTCCCTCTACAGGAGGAATATTCAAAATACTACAAAAATTGTCTAGGGACGATTGTTCCACCATGTTTGAGCATGTCGGGTGTACCTTTCAACTATTTTCCATTTTTCGTCCGAAATCCGCCTGTAGGGGGGCATGCCCGACCGAACCCTGGATCCAACAAGTTGTGATCTCTTGGGAGGCCAGCTTCTACTTCCGCTGGCGGAGGACATGATCGGGTGACAGCGCTCGCACCAAGGCTGTGGATGTGCCACCTCAGTGTGGCGGGCTCCAGGGATCCTGGACCCCGAGATGATGTTGCAGTTTCTTTAGGGGGGATCTTGTCCAGCTTCCGCCGAGGGCATGATCGGGTGACATGGCAGTGCTTACTCCGGATTCCATAATAAAGTCGGGGGGGTCACATTTGGGGGGGGGGGTCTGAGTTGAGCTGTCTTGGAGGGTTCGGGGGGGTCTGGGCAAAGGGCCGCCCTTTCATGGATGGTCTGGGGGGGTCTAAGATTTCTCGTCTGGGAGGGTTGTGACCCCCTCCCTTTTAAAACGAAATCTGGAGTACTTTCGGCGGCGCGCAGAGGGAGGTGGCGTGGGGGGGCGGGAGAGGAGGAAAGGGTACCGATTTCACTGTGTGCCCTTCCCTCGTCGCCACGGCTGGATTCGCTTCGAAGTCCCAGTCAGAGCGCACCTCTGGGAGCGTAAGACCCGGGTTTGCCAGGACTCGGGTTCGCCATCGTTTTTTGACGACCGCGCCTCGGATTTTGACGAGGAGGAGTTTCGTGGGATGTCTGCAGCGGGAGGCCTCGTCAAAATGCAGGTTCGGCCTCGTCATTTTTTTGACGACCTCGTCGGGGATTTCCGAGTCCCCTGTACCCAGGTCTTACGTCCCCCTGGACAGAGGTCTGCGGAGTAGCGGCATCGGTACTTTTTGTCCCCCCAGGGGCGGCCTTCGAAGAAGACGGGGGGGTGTCAGAAGGCAGCCTCCCTAGAAGCTGGGAGGACGTCTAAGAAGCCCCCGTCCCTCTCAGTAACCACCGCCCTTTTCAGAAGGCCCCCCCCCCTTGGCGCCACCCCCTTACTGCGCGAGCCGCCAGCACACTGTCCCGGCCTGAGGCCGAGGACTCAAGCAGCGCTCGAGCGACGGAGGGGCGTTCCTCCTCCTCCTCCTCCGCCTCCTCCTCCTCCTCCTCCTCCTCCTCCTCCTCCTCCTCCTCCTCCTCCTCCTCCTCCCCCTCCTCCTCCCCCTCCTCCTCCTCCTCGAGGCGAGTCGAGGCACAGAGCAGACGCGGCGGGAGGCGGAGGGGGCACCGGGGGAAAGGAGAGGCCGCGCTCGGGGCGCGCAGTCCTTTTGTGCGCGGGCGCCGGAGGTGTGCACAGCTCGGAGGGGGGCAGGCCGTCGTGGTAGTGATACGTTCGAAGGATTGCAAAAAAAACAAAGGATTGCAAAAAAACGAAGGATTGCAAAAAAAACCTTCGAAGGATTGCAAAACAAAATCCTTCGCTTTTGTTGCAAAGGATTGCAAAAAGAGATTTTTTTTTGCAAACCCCTCTTTTTGTTTTGCAATCCTTCGTTTTTTTGCCATCCTTCGGTGTCCAGGATTTCCGGGCTGTTCCACGTCTGCTGATGTTCAAACACGGGCGGCAAAGACCGGGGCCGCGGGTTGCTCTGGAAATCCTGGAACGTACCCTGAGCCAATATTATCGAAGGATTGCAAAAAAAAACGAAGGATTGCAAAAAAAAAACACCTTGAACGAAGGATTGCAAAAAAAAAACCTTGAACGAAGGTTTTTTTTGCAATCCCTGGGTTTTTTTTTGCAATCCTTCGGACATGCTCATTCTCACAGCAGCACCGCCAGCACAGCACAGCGAAACCGCCAGCACTCGGGCGGGTGGTAATGGGGGATGGGGGGTGACCTGAATAGGGGATGATGAAAGGGCCCTGAAGCGGCCCCGCAGGGCCCTCTCTGGAGCCAGCAGGGGGCCAACAAGGGGGCCCAAAGGGCCCCTTCGGGGTCCTTCTCTCCACTCCCCACGCAGGTCCCCCCGCAATTGCCACCCGCCCGAAGCACGAGGCGCCAGGAAAGCCAGATGCGTGAGCTGCTTCCGTTTCCTGCCCTTTGCTACCTTGCCCTTGTCGTCCCCCCCGAACATCATCATCCCAGACATGCGGCGTCCGGATTTTTTCAGGACGGCGCCCCTGGAAGTCCCGACCCTTTCCCCGGGACTGGTTCTTCGTCCTGAGTCGTTCTGTGACGGCCCCGAAGCCTTGCGAGGGCCCCCGGGCCGAAAGCTGCCCAGAACCTCCCGCCCTGAATCTTTTAGCGACGCGATCATGTATGGGCTCGCTCTGACAGCGAAGCCGCCAGCACGCACAGGCCGCCGAGGTGGCACCGCACGGCGCGCTTCAGGAGTGGCTCGCCTTGCGGTGCGCCTCGCCCTTCAGGGGGGACCGGCGGAGGGTTTAGTTGCGGCGGGCCCCGTCGGCGAGGGCTGGCGGAAGCAGAGGCGAGGCGTCGGCGTTGTTTGGACTCTGGGTTCCCAAATGGCTCTCCTCTTCCTCCTCCTCCTCCTCCTCCTCCTCCTCCTCCTCCTCCTCCTCCTCCTCCTCCTCCTCCTCCTCCTCCTCCTTAATCTCCTCCTCCTTAATCCTCCTCCTCCTCCTCCTCCTCCTCCTCCTCCTCCTCCTCCTCCTCCTCCTCCTCCTCCTCCTCCTCCTCCTCCTCCATTCGTTTTCCTGATCAATAACTCCTCCCTGTCGCACCCCGAGGCCAGTTTTCAGGGCGGGCCGGGCGGTTCGCCTGAGACACCCTCACCATGTATGTATGATTCGGAGGCTTCCGAAAATCGCAACAGCTTCACGGATGGAGGGGCGGGTCGTTTTCAAAATGTGGCTCTCGCGTTAGCTCGCGTTAGCGTGGCGCACGCTCGTTCTAAACACGTGCAAAAGCTTCACGGATTGAGGGCGACCCGTTCAAAGAATGTGGCTCTCGCTCCAGCGCGGCGCACATTCGTTTCGACAGCTTGCAAGAGCTTCACGGAGTGAGGGCGACCCGTTTGAAACATGCGGTTCTCGCTTTAGCGCGGCGCACCTTCGCGTTCAACATTTGCCAGAGCTTCACGCATCGAGGGCGGCTCCTTTTCAAAATGTGGCTCTCGCCTTAGCGCCGCGTACACTCGTTCACACAATTCGCAAGAGTTTAGCGGTTTCCCACCATCAACGTATCAGTAACGGTGTTTTGAACGGATTCCGGATTTTGCGGGTGCAGCAGTTACGTTGATTCGTTGTGTTGAAGCCCCAGAAATGGCGTTTTGGCACGGTTCTGGATCGTCAAGACGCAATAGACAGGTTGATCCGTGGCGTTGAAATCTTTGGCATTATGCAAGGTCTTCAAACGGTTGTCTTCCAACGGGACAGTTCCCTCACTGGAAATTAACCGTTGTAGGGACCTATGAAGAAGGAGTTTGGAGGGAGGTGTTATTCCAACATCTTTGACGACTCTTGGGTTTACACTGGTCCTCCTCATCCTCCTCCTCCTTCTCCTCCTCCTCCTCCTCCTCCTCCTACTCCTCCCCTTGCCCTCCTCCTCGTCCTCCCCTTCGCCTCCTATTCCCCTCCTCCCTCCTCCTCCAACTCTTCCTCCCCCTCCTCCTCCTCCTTCTCCTCCTCATCCTCATCCTCATCCTCCTCCTCCTCAGCCTCCTCCGTCCTCCGCCTCCTCCTCCGCCTCTTCGTCCTCCGCCTCCTCCTCCTCCGCCTCCTCCTCCTCATCCTCATCCTCCCCATCCTCCTCATCCTCCTCGGGTGGGTTCAGGCGAGTGTTCACGGTGCGGTCAGTTTGGTTGCGCCGCTGTCGGTTGCGTTCGGTCAGTAAAAGCGAGGCATCAACATTTCTGGATTCAGTCGTCGGCGAGCGAGGGGGGAAGTGAGAATGAGGAGATTTTCTCAGAAGGCGGCATGGCTTCTCGGAAGCCCTCTGGCCTTCAGAGAAGTGTTCTGTGTGTTCGGGGAAGGCTTAGAAAACGTCTCAGAGGGTCGGGGGACTTCTGAGAAGGCCCGCCCCCCCAAGGGTGTTCACGGTTCGGTTGGTCCGGTTATGTCGCAGTCGGTTGTGTTCGGTCGGTTCGGTTCGGTCGGTTGATTGTGCGCCGTTATTGCGTCGTTGCGCCCCTATCGGCTGATTCTCGGCCTGTCGGTTTCTATTTCGCTGTCGGTTCGGTCGGTGTTCGGCTTGCTGTCGCCGTGCATTGCCTCATTCCTGGGGCTGGCCATCTTCAGGAGGCAAAAAGAGAGACACCGACACACGCAAGGGTCGATTAGGGGAAGTGGGGGGGAGACGATCATCCGGGAAATATTGACCAATATGGGGGATCCTGGGGCCTGCGTTCCTTTCTTTGTGTCTCCCGGGGCCCC